TTCCTTATTGTATTAGGTGATAAGTCTAAGTAGGTGTATTACCTACGTAGACAGAAGCAGTAAGGAGTGTAGAAAGGGTAGTAATGTCTTATGCTGTTCAGTGTGATCTGGACTGCAAACACATATTAACACACAAAATCTGGTTTATTGTCCTTTAATGTTTACATTTAGGCAAAGATGCATGTATTACTTTAGACAGGTATGATGTATGCTGAATATTGATCATTGTTGAGCGGGCTTTAGTGCAGTGCCGTGCTGGATCCACCTAACTCCTACCACAAGGCCAGTGATGAAAAGACCAAGGATGGTCATGTCACCTCCACTTTTAAGGTAGAATACCTCAGCTAAATCTAAAAATAAGGGAGGAAAGCTGCACAGCATGTAGTGGGAAGTATAAAAATACCGATTGTTGCAAGCTGATGTATTATCATAGATCCTACAAGCACAGCTACCCCTTTTATCTGTCCTTAGTGCATCTTACTGTTCACTCCCACATTTTCTTAGGTCACATCCTTATGCTAGCAGCAAACAAATAGATTTTTCCATCAACAGTAAACAGCGTGGATAGAGGAATCTTCCCTGTTGGCTATTGTATTCATACAGCTGGTTCCCACTGTTGTCTGAATACCCAAACAGTGACAGCATCTGATTGGCATCTGACATATTTGGTATCTATTATCTCAGCTTTTGGGGAAAAAAAGCTAAATATTTTATTGTGTATTTGTACACTAAAATTAATTTGAGGTTTTTTTTTAGTGAAAATATAGATTTGTGTCCTCTGCATTTAGAAAATATATAATAGAAGATATAGTGTAACTACAGCCAAAGCTTTCATGTTTGTTTTTTGGATAGAGTGGGAAAGTACTAGAACCTTGGGTTTTCCTACTTCCCCAATTGGGGAGTTTCCCATCTGTTGTCCCAGTGACAAGATGTAGGAGAAAACTGACAAACAAAAACAAGAGATCCTAACGGTTCCCTGCTCCCCAATGAAACATGCTTTTATTGCTTCTGGGTTCACATTGGAGACATGCTCCCAACTTCCTGTTCAAGTGATAAAATGGAATCTTCCAAGTGGGGACACGGGCTGCAATAAATACCTCCCTATTCTATCCAAAACAGGTTAGACTGGAAGGTTAAGTTAACCCAAAGGCATACTTTAATTTTAAAGAAGTATTCCAAGAATGGAAAAATGCTTATTAACTACCCACCCCTTCTAGATGATCCAGTGCACATAGCAATTGTCCCTTTTCAAATATATTCAGGGATTGCTAAGTACCATTATCGGATAGCTCACCCCTCCTCCCTTCACTTCTGTCCAGCAACATTGGACAAAGGAGATGGCAGTTCTGACTGACAGTGTAGGAGGGGCAGGGTTATGACAGTCACAGTGCACACTGGGCCTGCACAGCCCTGTTCAAGCCTTTTTATAAGCTGTCAGACCAAATATCTGCAACCCTGTTCCTCCTCTGCTCTCCAGTTAAAGCTTCTTTATAGTTAAAACACAGACTGAGCCCAGATGCAGCCACCAGCTATTTCAGAGGAGGTAGAGTCCAACTGTAACTGTTGAACATTGTGTGTTATAGTAAATAATGATGGCTGCAGAGGACCACTGTTCCCCCACTGCCCATGCCTCCAATCTGCAGTGTGTTGAGGAATCTTCAGAATCTGACACTTCTGGGGGTGTTGGTTTCCTTGCGCCTCACTGCACTCTGTGGTTCCTCATGCCAGCTGATACGTCACTACAGGACACAGCAGTAACATAAGTGCTGGCAGCTCAAACCTCTGAGCACAGTGGGGGACCAGGAATCCCAGACACCCAGAGGTGTATCAGATTATTTAGATTCATCAACAGCTGTATATCTGCAATACCGTTTAGATTAAGGTAAGTATGAACTCTCTCCTATGCAGGATAAACTTAGCCGCTTGAGTGCCAGCTGACATTTCAAACCGCGCAGGAATAGCGGCTATTCGCCCCAGAGCCATTTTGAAAGGGGAGCTGCTTTCATCCCCTGGACTGCTGATGCTTCTACATGCTAGATAGGCATGTGCTGTGGAAGAGAATGTAAATAAAATAGTTCTGCAACTTTACAATAGCAGAAAAAAAGGAAAGATTGCCACACTCTGAACCTGTAAGCCATTATTTCTCTTTATTATCCTACCTGAACTTCTCCCTTTGATGCATTTCACTATAAGCTTATTTGTAAAGTGAGTGAAATGCATCAACGGGAGGAAGGAGTTAAGGTGGTCTACCTTACACCAGGGGCATATTAAATAATAATAATGGCTTACAGAACTAGAATGCGTCTACTTTTTATTCTTTGTTTTTGTGCTACTATAAGGTGGACGAGCCATGTAGATGCTGGCAGTCAGAGCCGAGACATGTGTGGGTATATTTAGTAATAGTGGGGCAATGCATTCTTTGGATTATTAACCTGGACCAATCCTCCTGCAAATTTTTTTCTGTTACACCTTCCTCTTCAATGCACTTAAAATGTAATCCATAAATCTATTCCTATTCCCATATTATCTAAGTGATATAGAGCTTCTCCTCAGTGAGCAGGCAGTACGAGCATCTGCAGGGAACTGGAAACCAATTATATTGTCTGACAAGACTGCATATATTTAATAAGATTTTCCTCTAAACAGCTTAATGTTCATACCAAATTATTTACAACATAACACCTTGTTAACACATTATTTTACTCTATAAATTAATTCCAGGTTCAAAGATATGGCTCACTATTGTTTTTATTTATTGTATTTATTTATTTTTTGTTGGTTTGATTTGTCAATTTCTTTTATTATAATAACGCAATATAAACAAAATTAAAATAAAATAATAACAGAGAGAGAAAGAGAGAGGAGGGGAGAGAGAGATTTTTTTTTTTTTTTTGCTTTTGTAAATGTAACTATAAACGAAGTGTCAATAATATATTGCATCAGGTAGCTGGTTGAAATTTATATATGTCACCAATCAAAACTAGTGAAAATAGGTTTTGGCTAATTTACTAAAGAAGAAAACAAATTTCACACAGTAATACAGTGGCTTAATGGTTAGTACTTCTGCCTTGCAGCACTGGGGTTCTTGGTTTGAACCCCAACACTTTCTACATGAAGTATGCATGTTCTCCATGTTCTTCCATTTCCTCCCACATTCCAAATTCATGATGGTAGGTGAATTGGCTGCTGTATACATTGTCCCTAGTATGTTTGTGCGTGTATGTATGTATGCATGCGAGATAGGGACCTTAGATTGTAAGCTCCTTGAGGGCAGGGACTGATGTGCATGTACAGAGCATTCTGTAAGTTGTCAGAGTTAAATAAATACAATGGGGGGAATTTATCAAAGCACTTGCGACTGTTTTAGCCTCTTAGATAATTTTTTTTAATGTGCAAATCTGTCTTTCAACATGTGCCCCTTTTTTCACCTGAGCTTGCGCTACTTTTCCAACTGCACGTGTTTTGCACCTGTTTTCTTCAGGGCTTGCACTACTTTTTCAGTTGCACGTTTTTTGCACGTTTTTTCATCCGCACTTGTTCTGGGCTGTCTGAAACTGGAGCATCACCTAAGAAAACAATCACAACTTAAGAAGTCCCCATGGCCACTTCTTCAAGGTGCGACAGTTAAGCTTTTTGCCTGAAGTTAGAAGTCTTCTTTCTTGGAGTCTATTAAACCTCCTTTATCAACAACATTACACTAGCTTGATAAATCTGGTGCAAATATATTCCGTGCAAGTTCAAACACTCGCAATTGCTATAATAAATTCCCCCCATTGTGTAAATATTCACCTCAATTATCCAAACGTGCAGTGTGTTGTTAGTCATTTGCACTGCATTTTGCCATGCAGGTCACGTGAGTGAAATCCTTAAATAAGGAAACAATTTGCATGTCAGTGCACAGCAATGCAACGCCCAATTATATTTTTCCTGTGAACCGCTTGCTACACTATAGTAAGCCTGTATAGAAAGCCTGTAGGATAACACAAGACTGCCATGCAATGTAAAATTGCTTTGCTGTTAATATAACTATATAAATATTTATGTTTTTTTCTTGCATATATTATTCTAGATATATTCACCTGGGTTGATCAGTTTAGGAGCTCTAAATTAACCTCTTTTATCTGCATAATATGTGGCATATCTGGATTGACTTGTATTGGGGTTTTTAGATTTTAATTGTTTTTAATGTGTACATGTATATGACATGTTGTTGAGGGTTTTTTTGTGCTTTTGTATTGTCAATTTATTGTTTTGTTTCTTGGATTTTATATATTTATACAATAAAGAGACTTTTTTTGACCTTTTCTTTATTATTTTAATTTTTATAGTAGTGGTGCAAATTTGTTTCAGGGACACGTGTAGTTTTTTTTGTGTGTTTATATAACTATTTATATGTTGTCATGAAGAAAAAAATAAAGTTGCATAGGTTTGTATTGCTATGGTGAATGTATACATTAATTTCCATTAATAATATCTACTTATTAGTTAATTATTAAAGGTGGTTTTAAAAACGTGCTTTGTGTTATTACCTTGGATTAACCATAGACATGAAACAGTGCCTGCCAGACTGAAAGATCAATTCATAAGCAGTAACAATTGTATCTACCATCATGATAGTTTGCACAATAGAAATGTTGCTTTAGATAAAAGAAGCGTGCATGTGTATTATGTGTGATTGTTTTATTTTCTGGGGATAAAAACACAGACATGCACATGAACTTTCTTAGATGAGCAAATGTTTATTCAGACCACTATCTCAATTTCTGTGAATAGCCCTGTGCCTTGTTACATCTGCAGACAGAATTGTGTCCATGCAGATGTGGATTTCAGCAGCGGCCTATGAATGTCACTTGTGTGTTGTGTCCTTCTCCTGTAGGCCCGGCTCTAGTGAGTGCTTAAACCCCAAAGAACTTTGTGATCACCTGTAAGCTGTTGTTATGTGTAAAGAAAGAGACATATTAAGCCCTGATCTGTGGATGTCTTCCTTTGATGTGTTGCAGGGTGCATTCACTTTCCATGCGAGCATGATAGACATGCCCTTGCTTAAGCAGGCACAGAACATCGTTACGCTTGCCAGAGCCATCAAGAACGAATGATGTGTTAAATGAAGCTCTCGCCAGGAGTCCGCTCCATACAGCACTTGTCTTCCATGCCAGAAGGGAGACTTGAGAAATGCGACCAGGGACGCTTCAGCCTATTGATAACAGAATGCTTATGCATTTATTTTCTGTACATGTATAGCATTCATTAAAATAAATGTCAAATCCAGTAGTATTTTTTTCTCCTTGCTTTCACCTCCCTAGCACCACCATTCATTAGGTTTCCCCTTATAAACATGTAAAACGCCTTTAAGAGTGTGTGACAAGGGCTGAACTGCAATAAACTTGTAGAGTTATAAGGGTAACAAAGCAGGACAAGCTTCTGCTTCTAGGCTCTCCGGGCAGATTTACATGACACTGGAGATACTGCTACAGGTCATATGCTTCTTGTTGTTAACTGGCTTAGCAAAGCTGTTTTGGAGAGGTTAACCTAGCTTGTAGCAAGGGTAAATAAACATAACAACCAGCCATTGTCCCCTATTCAGCGTGTACTCTTATATTCAGGGCTAAAGGGTATTGAAGCTGCAGAGGATCAACTTGTGGTTGCCAAAGGACTCGAATGAAGTTTCAAACAGCAACAATCAGAGATTTTGTTTCTGTCCCTCATTAAATCATGAGCTTTTGTACCCCCAGCCACCAAGGACTGTTCTTTAAGAAATTAACAGAATGGAAAGTTTTAAACCATGCACCAACCTTTCTATGACCTACACAGAGGCAGTGCTGCTGTCCTTACACACACTCCACAGGAAGGCTGTTCTGTTTATTTAAACGTGTAAATAGAAAACACGGCTTTAACCCTTCCGAAGGGGCATTCATCTCCCCTGTATAGGTGCTGCTTGCACAAGGATCCTTCTTCGGACTGCAATCAGTGTGTACAGTAAATAGCTGGGGGGTTAGGATGGCCAGCTACACATTTTATGGCTGATTTATTTGCACAATTCGGCAATCTGGTTCCTTACCCTTTCAGTGGCATTGCCTTGTTTCTCCCATTACAGATTGCATAAAATATGAAAGATTTATTTCGAGAGAGACACCCTAAGGTGTGAATGTGAGATAAGTGCTGGCCGGGCCTAGTTAATAGGTCTTTCTAGAACAAGGATTATTTCAGGTCAAGGTTGACATGTCTAAGCCTTTCAAACTGTCAGCAAGTTTTTAGCTAGAAAGGACCTTTACTGTCAAAGTAAATCATCATTGGATCTGTACATATTTATTCCCAAAGGCACGTGTGTATGGAAAGCGCCATCTAACAGCAGCCAATGTAGCACTGTAAGGAATCGGGTACACCGATTTATAGGAAGATAATTTATCACAGGTTCTAGTAACCTAAAGAATGTCCCAAAATAATGGAATCAGCCCAAAACCTACAGTTTACTGGAATGGATAAATGATGTTAATCAACTAGAATATTATGAAGAGCTCTTCCTCTAAAAAGTATAAGTATAATATATATAAACGTTATAATATAAATGTAGGCATGTTGGACACATGTTAAGACAACAAACATTTATAAGAGTTTATTATGAATAAAATGATTTTAGCATGAGAAATTATTCTTTTGATTACTAATTCTTCTATGTATGTTGTATGTTAATTTTTCTTCTTGTATTTTTGAATTCTTCCTCTTGTATTTTTATTCCTGTATATGATTCATTCTTCTTCTTGTATATTTTTGTTTTCTATATTTTGATATTTCCTTGCAACCCCTCCTTTTTTTTCTTTACTTGCCCCCCCACCGCCACCACCACCCCCACCCCCACGACTACATTTACTGTCCTTATGACATATCATACTTTGCCATAACATTGCCGTCTCTTATATATGTTGTAATTAAATATGTAATGTTTCAAAACAAAAATCATAAAATGTAGTGGAAAATGTACCAATTAATCAGACTGCCCACCGTGTGACGGCCAGTGCCTTGTCAGTGCTTTCTATCTGTCTTGTTCACTAATGAGGTACTTTCACCCAGCAAAACTTGCAGGTAGCAGTGTTCAGTGGCAATGTGTCCTGTTATTTGCATTAGACCATGAAATATCGTTTTTCATTATTATTATTATACAGGATTTACCTATAACATATTACCCTGTCTATTACAGAAAATCGGTCACATGCTATACAACCGAGATAATGCAGAAATAGCTTTTACTTTTTAAATGCATGCTGTCATTCCTGCATAATCAATAGTGGCAATCGGTGGTTTTATTTCAAACACAAATGCTTTTACAGCACTGAGCAGCAAAAAAGGTGGTAATTCCCAATGTGAATGCATGATTATTTTGTAACAATAATCTGAGAATCTTGGTAAACTGTGTCTGGCTGGTGAACACCTGCATGTCAAACATGACAGGTTCCCTTACAGGTATGTAATAATGCACTGGTACATGGATGGCACAGGTTCTTCAGCTGTATAGTGTGGGATTTCTCCCTTTCTCTAATTCTGTATGAGCAGTCTTTGTACAGCCTATGCTCATCTCGATTACACAGGATTGCAAGCAGATTATAGTCCTGAGCGCTGGACACTCCTGATTTGAATGAGAATAAATACATATGAAATCTGCTTTGAATAATCTTAAATTGACTTTTCCTAAATAATCCTCTCTTCCCACAGCCTGAATAGGGGCACCCAGTCTTATATAAGCAGTTGTCACTGATCCTTCATTGCATTGAAAGAGACAATTAACAGTGTATTAAATATTTCACTGATTAGACCGAGAACACCGGAGGGAGGTTCAGTGACTGATTACAGAGAGCTCATTCATCAACAGCTCATGGACAAAGCTGTACTTCTCAACCCTGGCTATTCATGTATACATAACTTTTACCATGGTAAAAACAGGTCAAGGGGTGATTTACCAATCTTGTGGTCACTCTGATTCAGAGAAATGTATACTTTCCTAGCTCTCCTGAATCTGAGGATTGGTGGTGAACACAAGATAGGAGGGAAATCACGGCTTTTGTAAGCCTGTTCCTGTGATGAAATAAAATGTAATAATTCTGTCTATCTATAAATCTGTCTGTAGCTATTTATCTGTCTGTCCATCTATCCACCCACCCATCTATTAGTTATAGTATGTTAGAAGTTGTATATGAATCCTAGGAGGTCATCTCGTCTTGTCTGTCTTTTTCTATTTAACCTCTTATCATTTACTGTATGTAGATATTTGAATATGAATCGCACAGCCTTATTTCAATAAGGCTATCTATCTATCTATCTATCTATCTATCTATCTATCTATCTATCTGTCTGTCTGTCTGTCTGTCTGTCTGCCAGTCTGTCTGTCTGCCAGTCTGTTTGTCTCTCTGCCTGCCTGTCTGTCTGTCTGTCTTTGTATCTAGCTAGTCACAGCCTTTTCTATATGAGGTCAACTCCCATGTGCTGACTACATAGTTTCAGCCTACACAGCCCATCATCACTTTTGCACATAACGTGGTCCCGAATCCCAGGTGACCAAATTACCGTTAACACTATTAAAACATTCTAATGAGAAACAATTACTTAGGAAATGAGCTGAGACATGATGGAGTGAGGCACACTGGGGCCGATCTTGTATATTAGTTTAATAAATCCTTGGTACATAACACTTTATCCTGTGTGTGCAGAGTTCAGGCACAGGAGAATTAAACTAATCCTGTTTATGAGATGATTTTACATATATGTATTCTGTGATGAATCTCCCTAGGACCCATATGGTGCAGTTTGTTGCATTGTCTAATGCTGTGCCGGGGGCTGCCAGTAATGTCTTAATTTATCTTGTGTGACAAAGACAGTGTAGAACATTAGATCCTGCAGTAAGTTGTATGCTGGAGTAGCTGCAGCAATGTGTGTCTCCGATCAGCAGTGTTTATGGGAATTCTAATGTTCCTTGTACTCTTTCTCTAATTAGGGCTGTTTTGTATAGGTGTCTAAAGGACACTTCATAGAACTCTTCAGCCCCTCTATTTACAATTTCCATTAGTATTCTTTTCCAGGTTTTGTCTTTTTCCACAGCATTTTTGGAGAAACAATTGATGAAACAAAACAGATTATCAGATTAGCAGTGGGATTCTGTGCATATTAATGGTGGTGAAGAGCACCTAATGGGTCTGTAATTGCCGTTGTGGGGATAAGGCTGGAACACTAAAGTCTTTCTAGTCCAGAGACCCCCTGTGAGCTTTTCCTAGGTAACTTGGGGGGAACGTACGGTGTAATTATCACAGTCATGGCACCCATCTCCTCCCGTTCCACACAATGCAGATTGTATTCTGTGTACTTAATGAAAGAGAACAACTTCACCAAGCGGAGGTGGATGCTGCACACACAGCTCATACCTTCACTGCAGCTTTATATCCATTTTTTGGTTGTTTGTGTCTAGGTGTGTATTGACATGTGCTGGTGCTAACCTGCAGCACAATTATTCCCTCCATTGCTGGCAAAGTTTGTACATTTTCTGTACAATTCTATAATTTCAAAATTATTCACAGAATCAGTGATAGTAGAAAATAATAATCACTATGGCTTCAGAATTTGATGGGAATTTTTAGTATTTTTCTAACTTGTACTCATGGACAGTTTTAAAAAAGAATGAATTATATATGTATATAT